TTAGAGCCAAGCAGCGGGGGGGCGTCCAAGGCTGTGACTCTTGAGCCACTGGTGGGTTCAAACCACTGAGCTCTGGCTAGTTGCCCACCACCTGCCCCACAGTGCCCCCAAACATCTAAAAGCCCTCTCAGATAGCCAGAAGAACAGCCACAAAGACAGACAGCCTGACCTCTGAGATTGACTGGAGCCCTGTGATGGGCCCCGCCCCGCCCCACAGTGCTTCCATGGCCCAGCTTCCTGCTGTCCTCCCCCACTGTGTTTCCCCCCCACCACCAAAGATCTGATCTCTGCCACCGTGCTGTGTGGCCTCAGACACCCAGTCACCCTCTCTCTCCCTGGCTCCCTTATCAGCCGGTGACGCTGTGGGGACACCTCCCCACCCCCAGCGGTTCCGAGGTGCAGTTAATTAGCGCTTCAGTGCACTTTGATCTGCTTTGTTGAAAGGCGCTTCCGAAGAGAGGCAACCCGCGTCTTTATTGGAGGTAATCACTTCACGCTCTTTCATATGGCTAAAGGGAGATTTTTAATTGAGGCATAAAAGTAATTCCCATAAAAGAGCATCTGTTCTTGCAAACTTATTTACATTTTTCATGGAGTCAAAAGTTTGAAAAAATAATAAATGGTAAGCTTTTAAGAGGGCGGCATGCCAAAGGCACACATGTGCACAGCCGTTCCCCCAGCCCAACATCTGCCTAGCAGACAGCGGCCTGCCCCACCCCGCCCCTCGGAGGTGGAGCTGCGTCCTCAACAGCTGCCCCCGCTTTCCTGAGCCCTGCGCTGGCCAGTACAGCAGGGCGGCTTTTGGGGGGGAATAAAGCACCGTGTGGTGGCATCCGTGTCCTCAGTGCAAGAGGTCTGTTGGAGCAAAGAGGCTATCAGCCCCGAGCCCTGGGGGAAGGTCTGGGTTTTCTGTGCTGGCATGGGATGCGAGCCTGCCCGTGTGACAACACCAGCCTGCCCCAGGCATCTGGCGCATGCGGGGGCACTGGTTATGGCCCTTGGGAGGTACCTGGTTACCCTGACCGTCTGTCCTCAGCCAGGCTGGTTGTAGGACTGACGGGCATCCTGATGTTCTCTCTCTGCTTGACCCTGGGGATGGGTGGGAGTTTTGATTACACTCTCTTTAGATTTATGAATTGATAAGTGACGCCTGGCCCACCCCCCACCACTTCTGAGTACCCGGTGAGTCATGCCGGACACTGTTGCTTCCCACAACCCCCTTAACTGGGACACATGGTGAAGGGATGGCCGCATGGAGAGGGCGTGGTGAAGTGAGTCACCTGCGTCCCACACTGGTGTTGTCAGAGCCAGAGTTTTGAGTGGAAACCCTGGGCTTCAGAGCAGGGGAAGCCGGCTTGGGATCCCTGCTTCTTTCCTGGTCTGGGATCGGACGGATGGTTGCTCCCAACTCTCACCAGCCACAGCGGCCCCACCTCTTAGGCCCTGCGCTTCCGGGAGATAAGACGCACAGAAACAAACTCAAAGGGCCCTAGACTGAGAAACCTGACGGAACTCCAAAGCATGGGAGCCCCGGGTGAGTAACAGCCACATCTCTCCTGCAGGCAGAGCTGCAGGGGAGCTTTGGACTGGCCCACCCTCTTCCAAAGCTGCTGCTCTCAGGCAAGACTGATGGGCTTGGTCTGTACCCCTGCTCGATTGGTTCCTGACTGGAGCACCCCCAGTCAGTAAGGCAGTTGCTCAAAAGCAGGAGAACAGAAAGACCCAGAGTGGCTGGTGTGAGGGAGATACATGCTGAGTGCCTCAGTGCCCACATGTGCGGTCTGGGCATTTCCCCCATGTCCTGCATGCTGCCAGGCCATCCAGCCCTGCTCACTTCCCCAGACAGCCATGACTGCCGGATTCCGTCTACAGGAGAAGCTGCTGCTACAGAAGCTCCATCCGCCCTGCTCTGGCTGCTCCTCGTACCAGGAGGCTCCAAGAGAGCTCACTGCCAGCAGGAGGTTTGGTGCAGCCAGCCACACACCGGGAAGGCCCAGCAAGAGCGGGAGGCATGGCGGCCTTCCCTGGGCTGCTGCCCTTGGTGAGCGCAGTCTTCACCTCCAGACGGGGGTAGCAGGGAGACAACCCTGGCTGTCGCCACTGAGCAGGAGGACCGGGAGGGTGCCACAGTGAGTGCCCACGTGGCCCTCTCACGCCAGCTTACGAGGCTGAGCAGAGGACACTCAGGCACGCAGAGCCAGGTCAGGCCCCAGGGAGGGCAGGCCAAGTCCAGGGTCCACCCCGTGGCTGGAAGCACTTGGCTCCACAGGATCTGCGGACACAGGCCAAGACCACCGCCCAGGGTTAGGAGCTGAAGAGGGGGACTATGAGGAGCACCCCATCTTTGGGGGGTTGGAGGATTGATGGCAATGGCATCGGTGACATCATCATCATCATCAAGTGTCTCCTTGACGGATTAGTCAAGGACACAGATGCTTAAGAGGCTCTTGACCTTGTCCAAGGACAGCTGGGACTCACACCTGAGTCCAAATCCGAGTACACACGCGTGACCCATCTCACCATACTGCGATGGAGAGGAGCTGGCGTCTGTCTGCCCTGGAAGGCAGAGTGCAGCCAAAGGACAGTGACTGTCACAAAGACAGCAGGCCTGAGATGGGGACAGAAGACAACGACTCAGCCAAGCAATGGCCGTTTGAAGGAACTGAAGATTAGAGCCAAGCAGCTTTGAAGCCATGTGATGCCGAAGCAAAGGGGTGCCCTGAGG